AGCAATTAGACAGTGTGGTGCTAATGTTTCCGTCTTTCTATGTACTTCAAGATATCCAGACTCAGACGATCATTGAGCGTGGTACTAAGAGGAGGGGTTGTACTATGTTGACAATGTTGCATAAGGCTAGGTTCATCAAGTTCGAATTTGTGATAATGGTAAGGTGAAGACTATTCAATTATGGCACCGTCGCCTATGTCATGCCTCCTTTGGTTACTGATTTGCAAAATTTACTTCCGTCATTATTTAATAATATCCTGAATTCTTCTCTAAAGTGCAATGTATGCACATTAGCTAAAAGTCATCGAGCTTCATATCCTCAGAGTTTTAACAAAAGAACAATTCCTTTTGAGTTGGTTCACTCTGATGTATAGGGGCCATCTCCAGTTACTACTCAGCATGGTGTGTGTTGATTTGTAACATTTGTTGATACTTAATATTCAATACTCGCTGCCTATTTAAGTGTTTTAGTCTGACGACGGTGGTGAGTATCTTAATAAAAAAAATTCACAGAAAAAAAAATCTCCATGACACTACATGCCCTCAGACACCACAACAAAATGGAGTTGTTGAACGGAAAAATCGGCACATACTTGAGATTAACCGTTCCATTCTGATTAGTAGCTGATCATGTTTTGCTCTCCTCCAATCTTCATCTTGAAACACAGGTTCTTGGTTGTGTGGCATACATCCATCTTCACAAAAATCAATAAAGCAAACTTGATCCATGTGCAGTGCAGTGTGTGTTTCTTGGCTTTAGTTCACAACAAAAAAATTTTGATGTTATCATCCATCCACTCAACATACATACATCACTATGGATGTTACATTCTCTAAAGACGAATTATTTTTTCCTCCCCACAATACTCTTCAGGGGGAGACAACCTTAATTGATGATTATGGTGGGTTTGTTGTCATAGAGACGGTGCCACTTGTAGATTCTAGGCGTGACAGCCCCATCCCAAGTGGGCCAAGACCTCAAGGACAAAGTGCAGAGCATGACAGCCCCAGTTCAAGTGGGCCGAGACTTCCAGGAAATAGTGTAGAAACTGGACCGTGTGCAGAAATTGATCAGCTCCCAAGTGGGTGGAGTATTGACCAAGGAGTAGATGCAGACCCTGCTGCTACAAGTGGGTCTCAGAACTGCTTGAATAAATGACAGCCCAAGTGGGCATCATGATGTGGCTAGTGTTCGCAGACCAAGTAGGAGTAATTATGAGAAGATGTATGATGGCCCAAGTGGGCCTAGCTTGCTAAATGATGAGGTGATGGTTAATAATACAAGCCCGAGTGGTGGGCTTCCACAAATACATAACGCCACCAGCGGATTAGAAGCTGAACACGACAACCCCCTCGTACACGAGTCGACCATGATCAAACGAATATTCTTGAGGTAAGTGCTCATTAAGATATTACCAAATCATTTTATGTGTTACCTCCTTGACAAAATTGAGGAAAACCACCAGACATGTATTCTCCAGAGGCGAAGGTGCGATACTCCATTGCAAACTATGTCTCCACTCATCAACTCCCACCAAAATACTGTGCATTTGTTTGTGAGATGAAAACTATAAAAATACCTCCCATAGTGGAAGAAGCATTAAAAAATCTAAAATGGACAGATGCAATGTAAGTTGAGATGGAAGCATTGAAAGATCCGATATGGCATTGCAAACTCCAGTGGGAAAGTATGTAGATTGTGAAAGGCACTATATGATCTGAAACAGTCACCTAGAGCGTGGTGTGGATGGTTCACTTAAGCAATGAAAAAGTATGGGTATCGATTGGGTAACTCAGATCATAAATTGTTCATCAAATGCAAGGATGGCAAAGTAACTTTGCTTATTATATATGTGGATGATATGATTGTCACAAGTGATGATACAATGGAAATTGATCGACTGCAAGAATACTTGTCTTCTGAGTTTGAGATAAAAGACCTTGGGGAACTTAAATACTTCTTAGGGATTGAAGTTGCGAGGTCTCATGAGGGAAAATATTTATCACACTGAAAGTATGTTGTGAGATCCCACATCGCATAAAGGAATGGATCTTGTAAGCTTTATATGTATATTCTCATCTCTACCCAGCACGAGGCCTTTTGGGAGCTCACTAGCTTGGGGTTCCATCGGAACTCCGAAGTTAAGCGAGTAGCGCGCAAGAGCACTCCCATGATGGGTGACCCACTGGGAAGTTCTTGTCTGAGTTCCCAGAAACAAAACTATGAGGGCGTGATCGAGACCCAAAGCGAACAATATCGTGCTACGACGGAGGTCGAGCCCAGGATATGGTGGGGGTCCGGGCCGGGATGTGACATATGTGTTGGATCTTCTATCTGAAACTGGTATGCTAGGGTGTAAACCCGTTGATACACCTATTGTGCAGAATCACCATCTTGCAATCTATCAGGATCAAGTTTTGAAAAATAAGGAGAAGTACCAAAGGTTGGTAGGATGATTGATTTACATGTCACTCACAAGGCCTGATATCGCTTACGCAGTAAGTGTGGTGAGTCAATTCATGCAGGAAACATCCCAGCTGCTTATCTGGAAGGCAGTAGATATCTTGCTGCACCGGATTGTTAGCTCACTCGACAAGTTGGGCTTAGGAGATATCTATGCCCTAACTTGAGGGGGAGTTGGTGTGAGTCAAAGTTTTAGATGGATTATGAATTTATTTGTTTCCTAGTTTGGTTGTAAGTTGTAACTCTCTCTTTAATATTCCTTGTATCACAAGGAAAATAGTTGTGTATATATTTCCTCCATCGGGAGAAGAATAACAAGAACGAACAATAAAACCTTAAATGTTGTAGTTTTATCTGTGTCTTGAATCGAACCCATCACTACAAATACACCGCTAAAGTTATTACTCAATTCCACTTGTAGTCTGCAAGCAATTATAGTTGAAGCTCAATGCTCAGCATCACCAAAACTGCCTTGGTCTTTCATTCTTTTTTCCTATAGTCAGACGATGATTTGAGATTTTGATTCCTGAAAGGACAAGGTATGATTTCAAGGATCCGAAGACCATAAGCTATTAGGATTGGCAAAACAGAACCCGCCAAGATCCACATCAAAGAACCAGGACCAAATGAAATGCAAACAACACATCCGCTACGGAATCTAAAGCATATCCAGAAAAAAGCAACAGGGGTTGTTGTTCAGCTAAGCAGTCGACGTATTTATAGTTCCCCTTTCGTATTTTGGTTAGGATTGGGTCTATTCTCACTGCACTCATATGGAACTGGAAGAGAATGGAATGGTATACATAAACTATATCTTGCCAGAAAGTTTGACATACTACATGTCAGAGTCTGACAAGTGAAATCTCTCTCTCTCTCTCTCTCTCTCTCTCTCTCTCTCTCTCTCTCTCTATACATATATACATAATATATATATATACATGTACATGCAGGAAACAATTCTCTGGAAGGCAGTATGATCTGCTTTGTCGCCAGATTGTTGGAACCTGTATTTAGATGGATTTGTGTTCTATGTATGATTCAGATTGAAACTCTGACAACAGAATATTTTATACTCTTTTCTCAGAGATTATGACCCGTTTGCCCGTTTATATATATAAGTTGATTAGAGTGGATCTTGGTTGCACAAGGTTTTGCTTTGTTTGGTTTTCTGTTTTCTTTTTTATTTGGTATGTTAAGGCTCAAGTATTTAGCTAAAACTGACAACGTATTTTCATGAGAACCTACTGTTATGATATACAATTTGACTTGAAAGGAATCATATTAAGTTTATTCTGCATCTCAAATCACATCCTTCAGGACAACTTTCCTTTCCTTTATTAAATTAACGTTGCAACTATTCGACATCTCACTGAGATCTGCTTCACAGTTTGAGTTGTGATTGTTTCTTATGCTGCTTTCTTGTGCCGATTCAGACGAAGCAAGCTATTGAGCAAGTAAATTTGAGGGAAAATGATTTTAAAGTCAGTTGTTTTGCTAATAATAATAGATAGATATCTTTGCGGATGTATACATGCCTGTGCGGGTGCTTTCAATCAGATGCAGATAGTATATATATCATGATTACTTTATGTTCTGCTAGTGTGTCTGTCCTCGGCTTTACTGTCCCGAATATGGAGTTTTTGATGGATTTTGAAATGAGTGAATTAATTCTTCATTTTTCTTCTCACGACGGGTGATTCCAGCCAGTGCTAAGGGTAATGGATGTAAAGAGCCTCGAAGAAGAATACAATGCTCTTCTATAAAGCTGGGGAAAGTGAGTAGTCGAAGATTCTGCAGGACCAAATTGAGTAATTGAGGGTAAACTGTTTATCAGGCTTTTGTAGGAAGACCTAGGTGCCGTCTCCATTCTGGTCCATAACAGCCCATGGCTATTACAGATAGCCTCTGCCTGCTGCCAGGACCAATAGTAGGACAGACATTGCTATTGGACGGGGACATTGTAGTTATGGCTTCAATTAGTTTCCCTTTGTCTAGTTGCTGCAGTATGCTTCAAGTCTCCTTGTACAGAGAATCTCAAAGAAAGATCTTCCACATCTTTTAGAGTCACTCAATGGTTCTTCAGGAATTGGCATGATCTGAAGGCGGGTAGTGGGATGACGGATTCGGGAATGTGGAACATGGGAGAGGTGGTTCGGCAGTGTTCAGGCCACGAAAAGCGGTGGATGTACTTTAGGCCGTTCTTTCTGCCTTCGAGGCAGGGGTTTTGTTTTCCTCCGACAAACTGCACGAGAGAGTCGACTGACTGATTCTTGCCGGAATTGGCTTGGAGGATGAAAATTCAAAATCTGAGGATACTCCATGTCCATGCTAAATAGTGATTTTACCACTCAATATATGCAGCTGCAATAGATGAACAATTTGAAGCCAGCGGCAGCAATTACAGACCAAAATAAATAAATTAAAGGATAAGAATTTCCCTTTTTAATCTCAATCCGAAAGGGATCATCCACTCGAAACAAACACAAGAAAACAAAACAAAATTCTCAAAAAGTGACATTCAAAACAAAAGAGCTTGTGAATACGAATAATGGAGGCTCAAATACTTATAAACATTAACATCCAACAAACTGAATTCAGTACATTGCAATAATAGCACCGGATAACAACAATTACAACACCATTGTTCCTTAATAACATCTCAAACAAATTCTCCCAAAGCAATAATCATTACACGATGAAGATAAAATCCATAAAATTCCTCGAACCTATGTGAACATCTCCGAATTCTTCAAACCACAGATAAAGCTTGAGTGCAGCGCTCAGTATGATTACCTCCTTGATCGTGGCAGAGAACTCTTGAGTACAGCTCTTGTTACCATTTCCACATCAGCGACATCAGGGTGCGCTGTTTTTGGATCACCATGGCAACACGTACAGACTATTGCAGCATCTGGGCCAACAGTTACATCTGGTGAGCAATATCTCCCGTACGGGCAAAGTGGTGCACTGTGATCATTCTTCATACAAATGCGACAGTACCTGAACTTTGGGGTTTGTATAGCTATGGACCAAACCAAAAGAAGATATCAATGCCGGTGACCACACAATGCACATTGAATGACCAATAACTACAAATTGTCTCTATTTTAACATAGAAAAGTATTGAATGAACAAGATATAAATAGCAAGAGTCTTAAGAACACAATGAGCATAAAGAAAAATCAATCATCATGAACCCCATTGATTCATTTCATAGAAGATAACTCAGTTTCCAAGTATTCTATTTTTTTCGTATTTCTGATCTCAAGTCCATCAAACAAAGAAATTTACGTCAAATTAGCCACACCAGGACAACGTATCTGCTTTTTTTTTTTTTCCTTTTGTGAATTGTTGATGAAACATATAAATTAACATGGAAGCTAGCTGCAGCCAATGGCGGATCTACAGAGGGACCTGGGAGGTCCCAGGACCCCTCGGCGATCCTAAATTGCTGCTAGAAATTTTCCGGAGGACCCCTCGTACTCGACATGAGGTCTGTGCTGCGGGTTGGAGTTGCAGGTTCTAATGGAGAAGAAGACAGCGGGGAGGGGAAGAAGAAAGAAAACAGGGCCTTTTAACAATTGGTCCAAACCGGCATAGTTTTGGCCAATTGTTTTAATTTAAAAAAAAAATCAATGAGACAAACTCTGCCGTTTGTCCATGATGTTCCATATTCTTTTACAGCCTAGCCCCACATGGGCCACATCTTTCCCGAGAGTCCCTCCCGTTTCCTTTCCCCACTCCTCTGCTTTTTCCCCCTAATCCCCATCTTTCTTATATTCACCCAAAACCCAATTTCTAATCCCACCCAATTCCATATTATAATTACATTACTCCAATATCATACATCCACTTGTTTCAATTCTCCAAGCCACCACTATTTGGTTCAAAGTTCAAGTATGTTTTTGGGTATTCTAATCTAATCTCAATTAAATTATATTAGATATTGGTAGAGATTTTTAGTCTATTATTGATATGGTTGTTGATATGTTTTATGTTTGTATACTCATTTTATCATTGCAATTTAGATGGAATTTTTGTTTATTGGTTGATTGGTATATATTTTGTGTTTTTGGTTAAATGTGTAGTTTAGAAATGAGAAATATGGAAAGATTTTTCAAGCCAAAGCAAATAGCACCATCTAATTTTTGAATGAAGTGTATTATATTTAACTTTCCAATGTTATTTTTATCTATAAATTTTTTTACCTTTATTATTGGGACCCGCTGAATTTAAAATCCTGGATCCGCCACTGGCTGCAGCACAGCAGCAGACTGATGGAATTGCAAATATATAACTTGAAAAACTGATCAAATTGATCCAAAAACTTTGGCACGATATTTCCTCAAAACATTAGTAATAAATCATTAGTCCTCTCAACCTATAGCTATATGAAACAATAACAACCCACAGGAAAACCTAAACCTAAATGGAGGGACTGGAGTACCGGTGACGGGGGTTGAAGGAGCATCTCAATACAGTAATAGTAGGAACAGCTGGATTTATATATATATATATATCTATATAACAGTCAATAAATTACACAAATTTTCAGCATAAACTTACGATATCAAACGAAATTCTAATACATAAACCAAAAGTAAATAATTTCAATTTAAAATCTCAGAAATTTAGGTATGAAATTAAATTCTGGAACAAAAAGAAAGAAAAAAATAACGCAATTCCTGCATACCATAATCAAAAGCAAACTTCTTTGGTCCCTGTGCCTCAGCCACCTTTTGTTGTTGTGCCTCAGCCGCCTTCGATCCTTGTGCCTCTGCCGCCTTTGATTCTTCTGCCTCTGCAAGCCGTGATTGTTTAGTAGGCCGCATCGGTTATTCATCAGGCCGAATCCGGACGGATTCTGATTTCAAGGGCCCCATGGCTGTGTCTGTGAATTCGAGAGAGAGATCGCGCAACGGTTTTGCTCTTGCGGTGAGAGAGAGAGGAGGCGTTTTTAATTTAATTTTTTTTTTTGTCAGAGGGCGTTTAATACAAAGTTTCCTCTCCTCCCTCACATCGTCCTTGTCTTCTGTACTTTACCGAAAGGGCAAAACCAATTGTTGTAAAATTCCGAAACTACCACTATTTACACTAAAATAATTAGCCATTTAGTTTGGGGTAGGGTGCAACTCGGGCGGGTTGGAAGGTCAACTTAATCTTAACCCAACTTTTACAACTTGAATTCTGGTTCGGATTAGGTTGCATTTTGGTTCATTTGAGGTCAAGTTTACTTGGCTTGGGTTCGGGTTGCCTAACTTTTTTAAGTTTAATTTTGTAACAACTTAGTTTCCAAGAATTCCTATAAAAATTAAGCCAAGTAGCATCAAAACTAGCTAACTTTATTTTCATAAATCAATCTACTATAAAGTTTTAGGATTTAAAAACTACGAATATGGGCTACAATTTGGTTAGATTGGGTTTGGTTAGTCAGATTGGGTTTGGTTAGTCAGGTTGGGTTGGGTTGGGGATGGGCAGGCAAATGATCAACCCAATCAATGAACGAGTCAAAATTGGGTTGGGTTCGGACGGATTATAATTAAAAAAACCAACTTTTTCGGGTTTAAAGGCGGGTTGGACATGGGCGGGTTCGGATTGGCCCAATCCAAATTGCACTCCTAGTTTAGGGTAATGCTAGGAAGACTAAATTTGTAAATAAAAATTAAAGGATATATAAGTTGATGATTGGTTTATTATTAAATGTCATACATGTGCTCATTTCTATTAATGACACGTCATTTAGTTTACAAATTTTGTCTCTAAATTAAGTTTCCCTAATATTACCCTTTAGATTGGGCTACTTTTTGGTTGGATAAAAGATTTTCATTTCTTTTGTAAGCATCTAGTTAGGCCCAATACAGTTGCGCCCGTTATTTCGAGACAGCAAAATAACACAAAGCTGCTTTAAAAAATATAACGTAAAATTCCAACCAAAAAAAAAGCGACATGAAACTGGTTATGAACTTGGCATGTGTGTGCATAGGGAGTGTTAAGGAGGAGAGAAAGGTGCAGTCGCATAAAGTCCTAAATTTGAAGGGGCCCCTAAATTTTTGTCATCTAACATCATGTAATAATATTCTATATTAAAAAAAATGCTTTTGTTAGCACTTTAAAACTACATTGTACACTCCTTATCAAAGATTTTTTTTTCTTTCTAAATATAAAAACTTAGAGTAAAACGAGATATTTTGGGTGTCTAATAACACCCTAAAAACGAAAATTTCTTAATTTTATTATACAACAACGTTATATATTCTTTAAAGTTAGAGGTTTGAAGTTTTTCTTTTATTCATGTTTGGTTGTTTAAGATGACACTACTTTTGATTATTTAGTGAAGGTTATGTTTGTATATTTTTTTACTTATCATTAAGGACACTTGTAAACATGCAATCAGTGAGTGCTAAAGTTTTTTTTTTTTGTTTTTATTTTATTTTTTGAACAAACGATATTATCTACACTAATGGGGTGAGGGAGTGGACTTAAGCCTCACAATGGGCTAACCATAATGTAGTTCAAATTCACCTTGGACGATAATTGAACCTAAGACCTCTCACTTCCAAGTAAAAAGGAATATCACTAGACCGTAGTACTAAGTGACTTTGTTTTTACTTAAGTGAAGGTTTTTTAGAATCAATACATTGTCATACTTAAAAAAATAAAAAAATAAATAAATAAATAAACTTAAAATGATTTTAAGAAAGGCCTCTTTTACAAATTTCGCATAGGTTCCCCAAAATCTAAAAGACGGCTCTTTATGACTCGTTGTAAACTAATGGTAAATCTCACTAACACTCATCGTGTAACGACCCGTCCCTAAAAATTATGATTTTTATAATTTTAATAAGTAAATTTACGAAAATGCCCTTTGAGGCAAAGTGTTGACTTTTGTTGAATGTTGTGTAGTGTCACGTAAGGTTCGTTTTCTTGGCTTATTCTCGTAGTACACGTCGCTACGGACGCGTAAGCGCAAACAGACGTTATTTGGAGTTATAACGAAGGAGATATTAACGTTTAAAGTTGGGGTATTTTAGTAAATTAGTTATTTCCTAGAAAGCTTCATATGTTTAGAGCAAAATCTAATTGAGCCACGTGTGTGGCCCAGATTAAAGGAAAGAAAAGTGGGAGGTGGAGATGAAAAATAAAGGAGAGATAGGGAGGGAAGTCGGCCAATGAGGGAGAGAGAGTGAGGGAAGTGACCAATGAGAGACAAGAGGAAGGAAAGAAAGGAGAGAAGAAGAAAAAGAAGAAAAGGGGAGCCGACCCGCAAAACCTGTCGGACTCGACCCATTTAACCTTGTTCCGAGGCTTTTCCGTCGATTTTCCGACCAATCAAACCACCAAACCACTTGGAAAACACTCTAAGACCTTCCCTATTTCCATTCCACCCCAAATTTGATTGAATCTAACCTTAAAAATAGTAAAACCCGCAACGTGGGTGCGACGGGATCGTGTGTAAATTCCTCAAATCCTGAAATGTTTTCATCCAATTACCACCAATAATAAGCTCCCTTCAACCCCAAGAACAAAGCCCAAGCACGTGACCAGTGGGCCGCCAATGCTATTTTACGCCAAATCGATATATTGATTATTGTGAACCTAGTTTCATTATGACGCATCACTTAATTATTATAGCAATCGACGATCCGATCGTTGGATCGTCACCAAACTTTAACACATTATAGTATGTAATATTTGAGGACCATAGGAACTTATGGATTGGGAATCCGATGTATGGATCTTCCCGAATTGGATTTGTAAGTTCATAAAATAAAACGTTAACCGCCATTTAGTTTTGGCAATTGACGGAGATCCAACCGTTGGATCGTAATGAAACTTTAGTATGATGTTTTAGAAGCTTAATGTGGATATTTGGAAGTTATGGATAGGAAATTTGCAATGCGGATCTTCTGGATCGAGTTACATAGGGTTGTAGACCCTACCGTCGATCTTTGACCGACAGTTGACTATTGTTTAATGGGTCTCAAATCATTCTAGAACGTCCTTGGAGATGTGTTTTATGTAAGTTACGTGTTCTATTGATAAGGCTTCTGAGATGTGGTTTGATAATTGTTCTAGGCGCCGATCGTTCGTGACGCCTCGATATTTGTGATAGGGAGTGGTAGCATGGACTCCAAGTGAGTGGGCTTTTGTTTTCTATATATATATATGCACTTAACGATTTCCAGAAATTATTTTTAAATGAATCTACGATTTAAATGTCATGTCAATGATACATTATATTTTAGTATTTGCATTAGGATAGTTTTGCTTACTATTGAATGATGATGCGGAGGCCCAGATAAGCTTCAGATGAGTATATTATGATAATGGTGGTTGCATTGTGTATGGTTATATGTAGATGCATTTAAAGCTCATTATCCTGCACCCCGGTGGTAGTGCTCCCGACCGTGGTCAAGGCACAATCCTTCACGTGATGTTCACCTCTCACACCGCACGCTCACCTTGGATCCAAGTTTGGTGCACTCCATTGTATAATATACACTCCTCTTCAAGGACAACATTGCAAGCATCAATTATTTTGGATGATTATCTTTTCACATAAGAAGAAGAAGAAAATTTTGATTAGCATTAAAAAAATAAAGGCATAAAGGCCACAAAAGAGCATGTGCAATTCACTATCCATGAGCTATCTATTTTTTCTCTCTTCCCGTACCTCTATCTCTAAATTTTTCTTCAAAAGTATTGGGTTAACACTAGGGTGGAAAAAAAATACCAAATATCCCAAACCAAACCGAAAAATTCTTGAAACCAAACCGAAAATCCTCAAACATTCGGTACCAAATACTGAACTGAACCAAAATTTTCGGTATGGGAATCAGTCTCAAGTTTTTTATTTTTCGGTAATCCCGAATCAAACCAAAATAAAAATAAAAATTATTTAATTTTTAAATATATATTTGAAATTGTAATGGTGGTCAAATTTCGTTGAGATTTAATCTTAACTGTTGAATAGAAATCAAACACTGAGTACACACTCTGTCTTTGTCACTCGACACTTAGTCACTCTCTCGCGGCTCGCCTCAAACTGAAACCCTCACCTCACCAGAAAACGTCTCACCGATTTGTCTTTCCGTTTCGAATCTGCCCACACAAGTGACTCACCTGAGACACATCTCTCTCGGCTATCACCTCTCTCTCTACTTCTCATCCCTCAGTGGAGGAGCCTTCCTTCACGAATCACGGCCATTGGCGCCGCTCTCCTTCTTAGTCTCTCGATTCCACTCATCCAGTGCACTGATTCTCCCCCAAATCAGGTAAATTTTGGAATTCAAGAATAAGGTTTGTGAAATTTAGCACTTGGAAGATAAAGTATATTGCATACTGAGGGTTTAGGGGTTGAATTGGTGGTTGGAATTCAAGATTATGGTTTCTCTTCTGTCACAGAATCACAATTGAAGCATAAATTTGTTACAGGTTGATAATTCATAGTTGTAGCAATAATTGCAACTACTGAAATGAATTTTGAGAGTTAGTGTCAATTGATGAATGAAGTTTAGAATTAACCGTGGGATTTTTATTCCGGCTATGTCTGAGGTTTTTGTTCCGGCTATGATTCTGATGAATTTGGCACTACAAACTGTCACATCCCGGCCCGGGGCGGACCACATCTTGGGCCCGCTCCACCACCATAGCACGATATTATCTGCTTTGGGCCCCAACTACGCCCTCACGGTTTTGTTTCTGGGAACTCACGAGCAACTTCCCAGTGGGTCACCCATCCTGGGAGTGCTCTGGCCTCCTTCTCACTTAACTTCGGAGTTCCTACGGAACCCGAAGCCAGTGAGCTCCCAAAAGGCCTCGTGCTAGGGAGGGATGGGAATACACATTTAAGGATCACTCCCCTGGGCGATGTGGGACGTCACAATCCACCCCCCTTAGGGGCCCGACGTCCTCGTCGGCACACTCGCGGCCAGGGTTAGGCTCTGATACCAAATTGTCACATCCCGGCCCGGGACGGACCACATCTTGGGCCCGCTCCACCACCATAGCACAATATTGTCCGCTTTGGGCCCCGACTACGCCCTCACGGTTTTGTTTCTAAGAACTCACGAGCAACTTCACAGTGGGTCACCCATCCTGGGAGTGCTCTGGCCTCCTTCTCACTTAACTTCGGAATTCCTACGGAACCCGAAGCCAGTGAGCTCCCAAAAGGCCTCGTGCTAGGTAGGGATGGGAATACACATTTAAGGATCACTCCCCTGGGCGATGTGGGATGTCACACAAACACTGTCCTAATTTTGGGCAATTACATATTCATAGCAACCGATTCTAGGTTAACTTCTATGGATATGGTAACCATAACTAAGTTATGCTCTCTGTTTGATCTGGTTATTGGGTTTTTAATTAAATTTTAATTTGTAATTAATACTTAATATTGATTTGTTTAGAGAACAAGTACTTCTTGAAGATTCATAAATATGCTCCAAACCTGTTTGGTACAATGTGTGGTAGTAAGTTTGTTTTTAGAGGGTTGAAGAAGCACTTGAAGAAATATGTTGCTAAACGCAGAGCTGAAAATCAAATTTTTGATGTGTATGAAGTTGCTCAAGTGGCACGTTCAAATTTGTTGCTGAATCAAATGGAACAAGCCCTAAAAAGTTGGGAGTCACATCCTAACCGTACTGATGTTGATACTATGAAGTTCAGATATAAGTATTCGAATTCGTGTTGCTTTATTTGTGGATTTGACAAATCGTTATGTTTTGTTTTATTGATTCATTTATTAATCTTAAACTTTCATGACTCTTTGTTCACGGTTTCTAGGTTCCAAAAGCTTACAGTATGAATCTAAGAATTTCATAAGTGTTCGATGTTTCCATGGCTTATGAACATCGTATTTGTGGCTTTCTTGGTTCTGGCTCTACTTTAGCTCAAGATTTTATTGTAAAATCTCAAAAAAAATTGTTGCAAGTGTTTTTCTTAGTTTTATAAGTAATTTTTGTTTTTCTTTTGTGAAAATATTTGGAATTTTCTTAGCTTTTATTGAGTATAGTTTTATTATTATCTCATGGTTAAGCAGATTAACATGTTTGAAATGAGTGGGGGATTGAAAGCTTTGATGATTTTTCTGTCTTACTAAGAGTTTTAGTTTCTGCAAACATCGGTGACCGTTTCACTGGTGGTGACTTATTTGGTTAGTTGTTACTTTTGTTTTTATTGTAATCTTTTTAAATTTATTTTTTACTTAATATGATTTTATATATTTTTTCAGTGCAAAGGATATATGCTCGTGAGCCTTGTTTGACATATAATTGTAGTGCTGCCCGGGTATATCTAGAGATGTTTGACACTCATGAACCAGAAAAAGGTGTCATTCTCTTGGTATTTCTTCCTGTTTCAACTGATAAAGTTATGTCTGATGATATTGGTTATTTTGAACAATTCGGACTTGTGGGGACTACTCTCATAGATTGGGTGAGTTTAATGGTCATTTTATGCATCATATATTGTTTGCTAAAGAGATGGATCCTTCTAAAGGAGACCTAGATAAGTGGCAACCCAAAAAAGCTTTTCTTTCCGTTGCTTCGTTCAAGAAGAATTCGGTAAACTTCAAGAGGATTTGCAAATTTAGCTTCACCATCTCCTTTAGAAGGATCCATCTCTTTAGCAAACAGTATACGATGCATAAAATGACCATTAATCTCACCCAATCTATGAGAGTAGTCCCCACAAGTCCGAATTGTTCAAAATAACCAGTAACAATATCACCAGACAATTTTATCAGAATGTTCTTTTTAAAATAACTTTATCAGTTGAAACAAGAAGAAATACCAAGAGAATGACACCTTTTTCTGGTTCAACAGTGTCAAACATCTCCAAATATACCTGGGCAGCATTGCAATTATATGTCAAACAAGGCTCACGAGCAGATATCCTTTGCACTGAAAAAATATATAAAATCAAATTAAGTAAAAAATAAATTTAAAAAGATTACAATAAAAACAAAAGTAACAACTAACCAAATAAGTCACCACCAGTGAAACGGTAATCGATGTTTGCAGAAACTAAAGCTCTTAGTAAGTTAGTTTTAGAAAAATCATCAAAGCTTTCAATCCCACCACTCATTTCAAACTTGTTAATCTGATCAACCCTAAGATAATAATAAAACTATACTCAATAAAAGCTAAGAAAAATCCAAATATTTTCACAAAAGAAAAACAAAAATTACTTATAAAACTAAGAAAAACACTTGCAACAAATTTTTTTGAGATCTTGAGCTAAAGTAGAGCCAGAACCAAGAAAGCCACAATTACGATGTTCAGAAGCCATGGAAACATCCAACACTTATGGAATTCTTAGATTCACACTATAAGCTTTTGGAACCTAGAAACCGTGAACTAAGAGTCATGAAACTTTAAGATTAATAAATAAACAAACAAATCAATAAAACAAAACATACCGATTTGTCAAATCCACAAATAAAGCAACACGAATTCGAATACTTATATCTGAACTTCATAGTATCAACATCACTACAGTTAGGATTTGACTCCAACTTTTTAGGGATTGTTCCATTTGATTCAGCAAATTTAAACGTGCCACTTGAGCAACTTCATACACATCAAAAATTCGATTTTCAGCTCTGCGTTTAGCAACATATTTCTTCAAGTGCTTCTTCAACCCTCAAAAAACATACTTACTACCACACATTATACCAAACAGGTTTGGAGCATATTTATGAATCTTCAAGAAGTACTCGTTCTCTAAACAAATCAATATTAAGTATTAATTACAAATAAAAAAATTAAAATTTAATTAAAAACCCAATAACCAGATCAAACAGAGAGCATAACTTACTTATGGTTACCATATCCATAGAAGTTAACCTAGAATCGGTTGCTATGAATATGTAATTGCCCAAAATTAGGACAATGTTTGTAGTGCCAAATTCATCAGAATCTTCAAGAAGATTCAGATCATCCATCATAGCCGAAACAAAAAACATAGTGAGAAACAAAAGAGAAAGACTGAAGGAAAATCACTGAAATAAAAAAGACATTTTTACAGAATCAGTAAGCAAATACAAGAAAGCCAAACGGAATCAGTAAGCAAATACAAGAAGCTAAACGGATCGAAAAAGCCATTTATGAAACACAAGAGTTAAAAGAGGAGAAAATACCTGCTCAGAGAATCAGAAAATGGAATTGAATGACAGTCTACATCCCCGAATAGAGATGTGAACGGCTATCAATTTGGTAGGAGGGAATTAAGAGGAGGGAAAGAGGGGGAAGGATTTTAACAGGTTTTTTTTTAGTGAAAACAATAAAAAACAATTGGGCCAAAAATACTGAAAAAATAAAAAGGACGGGAATTTTGGGTTAAATACTAGGGTCAGGAGGTGAGTGGGCCACAAGATCTTACATAGAGAGCAAAGAGGGCTGGTGGCCGAACCAGCATCTTAGGAGCATAAGACAAATTAAAATAAATTAAGGGATAAAAAAATAAAAAAGACTTGTTTCGTGAAGGAAAAAAAAGACCCTTTTTTTCGTTTGTGATTTTTAGTGGCAACATGAACTTCAAGAAGGCAGAATAGAGCAAATACGTACTTACAAATACTAGCATGCAGAAGTTTGCTCACAAATTTAAGATGTTTTTCTTTCACCACACTAATGAAAATGAAACAAAGATGGCAGTTTGCTCAGATAGTTCAATACCAGAATAAAGAGTTACCATTTTCTTTCAACTCCATTAGCATACAAATGCAAATGCATATTGACACATTGACTGTATTGCCACAATCGTGCTTCCTCCTTTCTCGCTTCTGACCAAGCACTTCTTTGTACTTCAAATATCAAAGCAACTGTTGCAACCAGTGTATATATTTTCAGTAAGAAACAAATACTTTTTAAGCAAAATAAGAACTACTATTATCACAAAAACATTCTAATGTTACAAATAGATACTATAGAGTAAACAAAATGCAATAACAACATCCTATGAATGTATTTTTATACTGTACTGTTTATATAGGGAGTGTAATGCTCCCCAACCACTCTGGTAAAGCCACCACTTCCTCAAATAGTCGAGACGTAAAGCACTTAAAAGAAGTGAAGTGTTGAATTTGATGAGGCAGAGACGTTTTCTACCAGACTCCCAATTCTGCATGGTCAAAAATAACAACAAAACAACTTAGGAAAGATATATGATCTAGCATTGCAATTGAAGATCTAATGATGTGCAATTATGTGGGTATTTAACAGTTCATCAGTTCAACATCTTCATATATATTAATTATATGAACACGGTTTAACATGATCACAAGTTTTGGCATTAGTCTTCCAAGTTTCTAACAAGATTTGCATACCATGAACAGGTAATTACGCTAGTGGTTGTGGTTCAGCACTCATATAGTAATTAGTACTCAAAAACACATCTAAATGAACCACTAAACAAAGTGTAAATACATTTATGGTGCGGCATTACAAACATCCCAAAACCCCACGATTAATTTTGAACTCCATTCATCAATTGACACCAACTCTCAAAATTCATTTCAGTAGCTGCAATTTTGCTACAACTATGAACTATGAATAATCAACCCGTAACAAATTTATGCTTCAATTGTGAGTCTGTGACAGAAGAGAAACCCTAATCTTGAATTCCAACCACCAATTCAACCCCTAAACCCTCAGTATGCAATATACTCTATCTTCCAAGTGCTAAATTTCACAAACCCTATTCTCGAATTCCAAAATTTACCTGATTTTGTTATGAACCCAATTTGTGATTGAGGCTTATGCTTTAATTAAAGAGTCAAAATAGTTGTAATTGAGGGTTACTGGTTATTAGGATAATTTGTTAGAAATGCCAGCTGGCAGGAGTCACACTTCGTGTATAAGAGCACCTGCTCTTTGGTTTGAAAACAGATCAGAATTTACACAAACAGAAATATAAACAAAAAAATATTCAAGAGCTCTGCTCTCTCTCTTCCTTCCCTCTCCATCTCTCTTCTCTGTGTTACTTGCAGGTTGATTAAGGGCCTAGAGATTTGGATCGTATCAATGGTATCATCCTTCTCGAATCCTGGTTTCCCTCCTGTGGACGCCCACCCGAACCGTCTTCCTGCAATGGATGCACGCCTCTCCGCTGCAATCGACTCCTTTGAAGCTTCGCTGCGTGCTGCGCTCCGTGATGCACTCCGCGAAGCTTTGGATTCTGCATTCACAAATTTCACGACGAATTTCAGCCGTGATTGGGCCTTGCTCTGCCGCGACTCGGCTCTCAGAGCGGAGGGAGTTTCTGATGCAGTCCCGACTACTTCCGATGACACGCAATCAATCGCTCTCGGTCATCCCGGACTTCTAGGAGACGATACTCCGCCGAGACTTCCATCTCCAATCGAAGTCCATTCCGTTCCGCCGTTGTTTTCGTCATCACCATTGTTGCGAGAAATCGCAGCTCCGTCCGTCAAGCCACAGTTGAACTCGAACGATACGTTGGCATCGACAATTCACACCAGTGTGCAAGGTTTTGTGTCTCCTCTGAGGAACACAGGAACCACCAAAATTGCAGTCCCTTTTCTACTTGCAGACCAAAACGTCAGTGACTCCATCAACCTTGAGGAGTATGGAGATTACTGGAGCTTCAACCCACAGACTATATGTCTTTATATGCTGCCCTTAACGCATACAAACACCACAAAGCGTCGACACGAGGTATTGACATCCTTGCTTTCCAATTTTACAAATCGGAAGGACAAATGGTATTGGGTTTTGCAGCTTATTCTGGCATATTATACTGGTGTTATTGTGATAATGTATGAAGACTTCTTAACTGCTAAATGTGGATGGGGTAATTGGTACCTTGTGGGTAAATTTGTGATGAAGAATTTCTATGCATTGCATCTGTTTGATGAAATGTTTGAGAGGCATAATATGGAGAATATGTCATTCAGTAGCAACTTGGAAGCTTTGGATATTGTTGTACTTGTATATCGGTCTTGGCCTAAAGATCTTGTCGCTAGTTTCACTAAGGAGAATGGGACCTTGGGTCATATCCATGTTATCAAGCAGTTCCTCTGCTTATCATTGTTACACATCTGTGCGTTGACAGTCATGGCCATTTCCCAGCTTCACTATTCTATTTTCACCAGCTTATTATTGAAATTGAATAAGGAATTTTGTAATAGGGTTGATGTACACCTTGATGCTGTTTCTTTTCCTAATTGCGTGGAGCATGACCAGATTTTCCAGCAACCGGGTTGGTGTCACAAGCTCAATGATCCTTGTGACAATATATCTTATCAAAGAGTTTTCTTCAATAAGAGGAATAATAAAAAATGGTTGATGGAGAAGCCCTGCATTCTCTCTTTCACGGTAGTAGAAGAAAAGGGGAAGAGAAAGGCTTTCGGGTTTGTTACATCCATTATCAGGCTCTTGGAAGAATCTGCCAACTTGAAAGGGCTTAAAGGTGGACATGTCGGACAAGAACAGGACATGCTTGCAATTCTCAGCTGTAAACACATAAATGATCTTCTCAAAATCAAGGCAGAGTTATTCCCTTGCAATTTCCATAAATTGCTTCCTATTGTTCTTTGCCTACCCTTGGTTATTGAGCATGATAATGCATGGGAAATTGCCATATTATTCTGTGATGCTGCACTAGATACTATAGTATTACAATTCCTCTTGGAGCTATTGAGTGTAGGAAAGGCTAGTGTGGGTATTGTTATAAGAGAGGGAACTACAAATGAAAATGTGTTTGATATCAGGACTTGGGCCATTTTGTTTGAAGATCATTGTTTCATGGTCGAAGAGATGTTATATTTGGCAGAGGTGGATCAACATTTTTCTGATGACACCTACTTATCTGATGCCTTGCCACTTAATCCAAGGAAATCACTGATTGCACAGACCTCTTACTTCAAGAAAGTCATTTTCATGGTTACCAACAATCTCACAAGTTCCCCAAATTTAGAGATTGAGGTCAAGCTTCTTTTTCAGGAGAATGGAACAACAACATCTTCAATCTTACTTTTCTTATTTCATGGAATACATTCCAAGGAGTGTGGGAAATCTAGGAAAAAAGAGGCGCTACAATTTGTGGCTGAAACTGCGCAGCAGTGTGGTACCGTCAATGCAGTGAGGCAGTACTTGTGGTTGTTTGAAGAATTTCCTCCAAAAGTTGTGCATGCTTATGTGGATTCCTTCAATTTCAGAGGTAGGGGCTTTGATGAAGCATGGTTCCACCGCTTTGCAGGAAAATTCAAAGAAAAGTACAAGATTGATGTCTTCCAAAATGCAACGGCTTGCCTTCACCTTTGTACCACATGTGAGATGCTCAATAAGGTACTTAGTACAAATCATGAGGCACCTTTGAATACAGTGTGTTAATGGAAGAGAAGGTATTTTCACGCATGAAGTTAACTAGTATACTTGGTCTTTTCCATGATAACTCTTTGTACTATGAGATGACTGATGAATCTCTGATGAGTTACAAGGGAAAGAGTAATGAAAATGAGTACCTTATCAATCACATTGATTCATCCAAGCACATTGATTTTTCATCTGGGGGGGTCACATCTGCTCTTCGTATTACTGATGGTGCACTTGCGATGGTGGATGGTATTGAGGAGGCTTCAACTTGTAGATCAGCTGATCTGCAATCTTCAATTGCCACAATTGAGACAATCATGAACAACTTATATGATGACCTTACTGCAGTTATTCTCTTGCTACTAAAAAATGCCGACGCCCGTGAGAATGTTCTTAAGTATCTTGCAAAGGTGATCAACAGATACTCATCATGGGCTCATATTCAGGTGGATCCTCTTCCCTGTGATATTTCGAGGTCTGAATATCAGTGGCATGTCCCAAGTCACCAAAATGCTTGGAAACAGATTACTAAGGAGGGTTCATATAATGGCCAGTTCCAAGGACAGTTTCACTTTGTCTTTATTGTCGCCAGCAGGACAAGCATCTTCAACACCAAAGCTGAAATTGCGTTGAAGGAAAATTTTGCTACTGCCGCCACCCTGCTAGTTGCTGCTCGTTTCAAACAAGTTTCCACAGTTATTTTTTAAGCCTTGAGGACAAGGCTAATTTTCAAGGGGGAAATATTGTTATGAACCCAATTTGTGATTGAGGCTTATGCTTTAATTAAAGAGTCAAAATAGTTGTAATTGAGGGTTACTGGTTATTAGGATAATTTGTTAGAAATGCCAGCTGGCAGGAGTCACACTTCGTGTATAAGAGCACCTGCTCTTTGGTTTGAAAACAGATCAGAATTTACACAAACAGAAATATAAACAAAAAAATATTCAAGAGCTCTGCTCTCTCTCTTCCTTCCCTCTCCATCTCTCTTCTCTGTGTTACTTGCAGGTTGATTAAGGGCCTAGAGATTTGGATCGTATCAGATTTGGGGGAGAATCGGTGCACAGTGCACTGGATGAGTGGAATCGAGAGAGACTGAGAGACTGAGAAGGAGAGCGGCGCCAATGGCCGTGATTCGTGAAGGAAGGCTCCTCCACTGTGAGGGATGAGAAGTCGAGAGAGACTGAGAGAGAGATCAGAGAGGTGATAGCCGAGAGAGATGTGTCTCAGGTGAGTCACTTGTGTGGGCGGATTCAAACGGAAAGACAAATCGGCGAGACGTTTTCTGGTGAGGTGAGGGTTTCAGTCTGAGGCGAGCCGCGAGAGAGAGTGACTGAGTGTCGAGTGACAGAGACAGAGTGTGTACTCAATGTTTGATTTATATTCTAACGGTTGAGATTAAATCTCAACAGAATCCGACGACCATTACAATTTCAAATATATATTTAAAAATTAAATAATTTTTTTTATTTTGGTTCAGTTCGGGATTACCAAAAAACCAAAAACTTGATACCAATTCCCATACAAAAAATTTTGGTTTGGTTCAGTATTTGGTACCGAATGTTTCGGGATTTTCGATTTGGTTTCAAGAATTTTTCGGTTTGGTTTGAGATATTCGGTATTTTTTTTCCACCCTAATGTTAACCCATTACTTTTGAAGAAAAATTTAGAGATAGAGGAACGGGAAGAGAGAAAAAATAGATAGCTCGTGGATAGTGAATTGCACATGCTCTTTTGTGGCCTTTATGCCTTTATTTTTTTAATGCTAATCAAAATTTTCTTCTTCTTCTTATGTGGAAAGATAATCATCCAAAACAATTGATGCTTGCAGTGTTTTCCTTGAAGAGGAGTGTATATTATACAATGGAGCAATGTTCTAAACGCGGTCAAGGCGGCCGCCTAGGCACTGGGCGTCGGAACGCCGCCGCGATTTTTCCAAAAACGTTCAATAAATCGGCAAGGGTATTAGGCGGTGTCTAGGCGGCCGACTGGGCGGGCTGGGCGGTCTCGACGGTGAGCTAGGCGGTCTCGGTAGTGAACTAGGCAATTGCTGGAAAAAAAAAACGAAAAATTTGACCTGGACTCTTCGGATTTCTTCACCGAAGCCAGCAACGTTTTCAAGGATCTTTGATGTGCTAGACTATGTTTTGGGAAAATTTTCAGGGCAAGAAGATAGGGAATTAGGCGGAGAAGACGATGGAGAATTGGGCGGAGCAATCGAAGAAGTGGAGCTCGTCTCTGTGAACTGAAGATGAAGGAAGAAAAAATGTTGTTGGCGAATTTCTGCAGTCATCTGTGAAGATGAGAGGAGAGAGTGCGAAGAGAGAGAGAGAGAGAGATAAACATTTCAAATGTAGTGGTACGAACTGGATCTCAAATCCAAGTCAAAAGCTGATGGTTTTAATTAAGAAAACCATGGACTCTAGTGGTTTTAATAATGAAAACCATCCAAGGTGGACATGTGATGTGAAAGAGCAGACGGGTTGATGGTTTTAATCAAGGTTTTAAAAAATGCTAGGCGCTAGTAGGGCGGCGGGGTCTAGGCGGGCGCCTAGGCGGATTTAGGTAAATTTCTTGTATATCTTGTAAATAAATACATATTGACATTTACAAAAAATTATACTTATATGAAATTCATGGATAAGATAATAAAAAAATGATAAAATGCAAAAAGAAGTATCCAACAAGTCTAAAATTTAAAAACACATTAAACATATATGCCATATAACCATAGTGAGGAATATTGTAGGAACCACACATAAAATGAAAAATAAGAGGAAAATAAAGAAATATATTAATATAAGATACTTAACTGTTAAAATCCCACGGTACACATTATTTAGTTTGTAATTAGTTTTGTAACAATGCAAATTGCTTTGGTACAAATATGTTAAAAGACCTTTACAAATTCCAAAACCAAAAAGCCCACGATACTAACCCCCAAAAAGGCTAACCAATTGTAAAAAAGGCATGCAAATTACAAATTGCTTTTATATCCAATTAAATGAACACAAAATCCAAAAAAAGCTTGCTAAGTTATTCACTTTACACAGGTCTTCTACGCAATCCTAGGCCTGCATCTAGCACTGGAAGCAACAGTGAAATACAATAAAAGAATTTAAAAATAAGTAAAAGAAAAAGATGGTGGGGACCATCTTTATGATAAAATGGTGCAATTAAACAAACTGAAGAACTTCATCTTCTTCCTCGCGACGCCGGGCTCTGCAACAAAACAAATTTCAGATTCCGACGTTCTCCACATACGCCCACCTAGACCCCGTCCACCTCCGCCCAGCCCCGCCTAGTCCCGCCTAATCCCGCCCAGTGGTCCGCCTAATATGCTTTTTGATTTTGTGACCGATTATGACTTAATCACGGCGGTCACCGGCCGTTCAGCGCCTAGGCGCCGCCTATGCGGCCACCTATATCGATTTTTAGAACACTGGTTTTAATAATAAAAGCCACCACATAGTGGGCTTTTTATATTTTTAAAAGTTTGTTATATATATTGTGTGTGTATATAAATCTTATATAAATTATAAATTATTTAGATAATTTTTTTCTTCTAGGAAAGCATATCATATATGTACATAAAACATTCACATATATATGTTCTTCTATAAGAAATAACATATTAATCAATAATTATTTACATTTGATATAGTAAATTTAATTAATTCATAAAATATATAAGAAATTTACCTAAATCCGTCTAGGCCGCCTAGGCGCCCGTCTAGACCCCGCCTAGCCGCCTAGGCGCTAGGCGCTAGCTCGCCTCCCGACTAGCGCCTAACGTTTTTTAGAACCTTGTAATGGAGTGAGAACAAGTGTCAAGTTCAATTGGACTTGTAAAACGAAAAACATAAATTGAGATTTATCTGTTGTCTGAAAGTCATTTGGCGATCTAAGAAACCAAATGGAAAATTTGAAGCCTCTACTCGGTGTGGATTACACATCATATCCTTTGATATGAAACAAGAAAAATTGATTTCTTCAAATCTTTCTTATTTCATATCAAAAAATATGCACGCATATTAGTATGCAGGCAAATGATGCATATCTTAATCTTCCACACGCTCACGATGCTGCTTTCCTTCAAATTAGATTACGACCAAGGAACGCTCACGCTACCGTTTTTCTTCATATTAGATTACAACCAAGGAACGCTCACGCTGCCGCTTTCCTTCGGATGTACTTTAGCTCTGCTTTTAAGACGACTGTCAAGAGTTCTGAGCATCAAATACGACTCTTAAACATAACCTAAGCGCGACATTGCTTTTCTTTTTTGGGTAAATAAACTGACTCCTTTTATAATTATATATTTTTTTTTCCTTTCCTTTTCTCGTGAAGTCTATTTACTAATTGCGTTCTGCTAGTTGCAAATTACTTTGAGATTAGCTAGGCAGACTCGCCTATAAAGCAAGTCTGAAGGGACTCGTCATACACGTGTCCATTCCTTTTGAAAAATCCAATTAAAACCTTCTTATTCTTTTAGTTTTGCCATTTTTACCATACCAAAAGACACATCAGTCCTAGTCTCTCTCATCTCCGAAGTTTCTCCTCCCACACCGAGCAATCCGCCAATCTCCACCGTGAAAAACACAATGAACCACAACGAACGACATCAACCTGCAATTGCAAACCCAGTATCAAACCTACGAATAAACATTAAAGAAAATCCCTCCCTACAGCACAACGCAAACTATAAAATATTTACACAAAAAATGTCCAAATTTTTCTGATTGCAAATAGTGCATACAAGCCACGAATTTAAGTCAACCTTCCCACCAATTATTTTTAGGGAGTTTTAACAAAACACTCTTGGTACTGTTAACTTTTTACGAAAAATCACATTTATATCTTTTCTTGGTACTATTCGTTATACCTTTAAAAATGACTTTTCATTAAAATGAAAGTTTTTTTGGATTTTTCGTTAGTTTTCTTTATTTTTAAGGAAAACTAATGAAAATATTTTGAAAATTTTGAATTTTAACGAAAATGACAAAATAAAGGGTAAATTGAATAGTATCAAAATTAACTTTTTAGTATAAAAATATGATTTTTCGTTAAAGTAAATAGTACTAGAAACTTTTCGTTAAAGTTTCCTTATTTTTATAGAGACATTTTGCTCCACTAATTGCTCAAACAAATATTTTGGGAGACTTTTTGAAAAACCAAGGGGATCTCTTTAATGTATTGTCCCTCCATAATCTCTCCTAAATACACATTAATCTACATGACATGCATTTGTCCAATGTAATTACGATGTTTGATGTGTGATAGTATTGAGGCTTTATACTTATTACCCTCCATGGATCCTTAACTTGAAGTAAATTTGGTGATAGCGTTAGTAAGTTAAATATTAGATTAGCCACCGACGGGGTTCGAATCCACGTCGTCATGCAAAGACACAATACATTTCCACCACCGTGGTAAAAGGTCACTTGTGTCCAAACTCCCTTTAAATCACAACTTTTGGTAGGCCAAAAGACAGAAACCTAAAGTCGAAGCTCTAAATGATGAATTTGTACTCTGAAACAATAAACCATGTTGATAAATGAGATCAAAACTGAATACAAATTGAATACAAACAATAAACCATTATGCTTGTGTTAAGATTTTGTATTTTGTGTTTGTTGTCACTTGTTTGTTTTAATTTTGCTTGTGCATTATGTGTAGATATTGATTTCCTCGTGACATGGGAGAGAAAGCGAGACGGACGGCGGGACGTAACGGCTTGCAAGTTATCATAGTCGTAGAGAGAGATTTGCCCCTGAGTCAGACGCTGGGTCATACGAGAAGAGAATTCAGTTTCATGGGTTTATAGCTTATACCATCACATTTAAATACCATCTTTCATCCCTGCCTTGAGTCAGATGCCTGAGCCATATCATTTCATATTGTCATGTCACAACAAGCATATTCAACAAAATCTTACATGTTTAAAAATATAATAAAACAGATGTCCCTTCAACTTATCCGTAGCCATCTCCTCCTCCTCGTTGCAAGAAACACTGTAGATAGCCAAACAGTCGTATTGACTTAATTTGGTCCCAACAGTAACTTAGCAAAGTTCCCAAAAAAAAACAAAGGATATGGCTACAAAACAGGCAGTATTGTTGTGACTTTTGGAAGTAATCAACTAAACTTTTATTTGAAAAAGAAAATATTCATTTGTATTCCATTAGTGTGCGCTCAACGCTGAAACAAAGTGAAGTTTCAGCTCGCGCATGCCCCCTCTCTCTGAGAATATACACTAATACGTATTCTGTGAATGAGGTGTCTTGCACCGCAATATATCCGATGATGCAGAGAAATAGAAAGACGCATCAGTTTCCCTGTCAAATTAGTTAATCACATCATCAGACTTAATGGACTTCTGCTGTCCAGAAGCCACCTTGGTTAAAATATGAATACGACATCATAAAGAATCATACATATATAATACACGCAGAAAGCAGAGTAAGCATCGTATCATCAGTGCTGTTCTATGTACATGGGGTACTATTAATGTCAGAAACATGTGAACAAATTTCCCTGTTTATGGCAAGAGAAATAACTGTGTGTGGCTATTACAATTTTAATCAGGCATCTCTTACCTTAAGCCTGACTTCCGTGCTTGAAAGTGATTTCTTTGGGCTTAAAGGAACAGCGCTGAACTTGGGAACCAACACCTTAAACAATGGTAAAAATGCCATGTACAGAGCGGCAAAAATTAAAGGAGTCGCAACAAGCCATCCCAACAACTGCAAAGATTGATACGAATTAGACGTGAATAGCAAGAGAGAAAGTGGGGTTATGGCTACAAGGTGATAAGTTGGCAACCTACCGCATGCGCAATACTTATTAAGACCTCATGTGAAGCTTGGCCAGTTAACACTTTCTTGAAAGCGTCAGAAGTTAAAGGAAAATGAGCACCACCAGAGACAAATTCACCAAAACGCAAGAAAGGTACAACCAAACTTGAGAGCAAAACAACAACAACAAAAAAACAGTAAGATACCAATCATATGTGTAGCATAAAATGTAAAAGGTATGGTACAAGAGAAACTAAAAGCTTTAGGACAAGTTCTTTTATATATGTTGTTTCTATTTCTAAGGCTTCTATCAACATAGAGACGAACGATGTACCAAGACAGCGACCAATCCACAATCTGTCATTGTTTAGACATTTTATGAAGGACGTGCAAACACAATTAGTCGCATGTACGGCGATGACATAAACGTAATGATATTACAAGATGCTAGGATAAAAGCACAAGTACCTCAGTTCTATTGGTGTAGCAAGGACATTAGCCAGCATGACAGTTGGAGCATGGCAGTGAGATCGCAGAAATGCAATTGCCATTCCACACAGAATCACAGTTGTCCCTATTAATGAAACATCGGTTAATATGAGGTATTTATTAACATTTAGAGAATCCAACATTAGTACTGACAAATCTCCAGAAATACCAGATCCATTACAACAACTACAAAGGGGGGATCATATCAACATCCTCCCAACTAAATCCAGCCTACATTTTCCTACGTGAACCTCCCACTCTCAGATAGCAATGCCTACATTTTCCTACGTGAACCCACTCTCAGATAGCAATTTCTTTCTGTTCTCTGTACTGATATAAGGCGGCAACTACTCCTCGTAAGTTTTCTTTAAGGAGGGTCCTATTTTGCATATTATTGCAACATTGCTGAGCCACATCAATATTCAGTAAGGAATGATCTAAGGAACAACTCACAGTGAGATTATTTTCGGCATTTAGAAGTAAAGTGTGACATGATAAAATTATGAAATTGCTTTTCCAGGCCGCAAATAAATCTGTTCGTGAGCGTATTAATAAGAGAAAATTATGTTCAGGTGGGAAATCATCCTGTATTAAACTAAAATGGAGAAGCAACAGCCTTGATAACAATATTACTACGCAGAATTACTGCATTGTATTGAAAGAGGCACCGCACGGGATTGGAGAAGATAAAAGATGCATACGTACCGCATATTGGAAATAATCCAATGGTAAGGCCAAGAGCTGCAGAGAAGGCCAACAGCTTCGGTTCTGCACCCCTTCAAAATCCAAATCAAATCTTACAACTTTCTTTCTCAGCAACCACCAAATAGAGTAACAATCAAACATGATTTTTTAGAGCAAAAAAATTGTTGAATCATTATCAATCAATCAAACCCGACAAAAATATTATATACCAAAAAAAAAACAGAATTTGTGAATCTGAAATAGAAGAAGAAAATTAGACAGAAAGAGAGAGTATAGGGTAGTAGTGGTACCTGCGGAGGATTTCGAGGAGGGGATCAACCACCTTCCTGTTGAACCAAATCGACACCCCATTACTACTTGCTGACATCACCACGGAACGGAGAGAGAGATCCCTTTTACAAATTTCAACGATTAATTCTTATATTGTGTGGTTTATAAATGGGTTTAGGGTTTGAAATTGAATGGATTTAGGATTCTTCTCAGGAAATGGAAGCCTCTAGCAGATCTAGTACAGGAGAAAGAAAGAAATAGAAAAACAAAACAAAAGATTTGAATAATAAACAACAATTCAGTATTAATCTGAAATTTTATGTTAAATTTGTTACTTCTCGAATTGAATTATCAAATGTTATTTTTTTATTTAAATAGAACTTAAAATGGTTATAATTGTAAAAAGAAATTGTTGAAACAAATTTTTTATTAGTTGAAATGTAAGTGTGGAATAAGGAACTCACCATTAAAATGAATTAAAAATAAATTTGACACTGATGTCAAATTTGACCCTTAACCCTTAATCACAAAGCTTTCAAATTCAATCAGCAAATTGGATAGATTTTTTATGTCAAGTATGCATAATAACATTCTACTTAGACTTTTGACATCTCATTTGGAGATGCTCTAAGAGTATTGATGGGGGTGAAGCTATTATTTTGGGAGTTTTTATAAAAAAAGGTTTGGCTAAATTTATTTTAACAAAAAATCAAGCTATAATTTTATTTAATGAAAAAAAAACTTAAATTTTAATAAAAATGACACAATTTTAATATATAAAAATTATAAAAAAAAACCTGACACGCAGGATCCGCACGTCCATCAAAGACACTGTTTATAAAAATGAACAGTACTACGATGTTTATGAAATTTAATGGTACTACAGTATTTATGAAACTTAACGGTATTATACTATTTATGAAACTAACCAGTACTACACTATTTATGAAACTAAATAGTACTATGCTTTAATAAAAAAGGCTTCTCCAAACTTTTTATTAACAAAAAACCATCTATTAACATTGACTATTTTTGAAACTGAATATTAACTCTTTTTGGAACTGAACACTGATTATTTCTGAAATTGTGGTCAGTTCTATAAATAGTTAGTGTTTAGTTCCAGCAATAGTCAATATGAAATCGTTGTTAGCGAGCTTTATGAAAAGGACTTCTCCAAATTTTTTATTAGCAAAAAATCATCTAATAACTTTTCGTCATTACTTACCTGCATACATACATACATTAGTATGTGCAAACTACATAAAAAACCAAGAGGTATGAATATGATGCCAAATGCATAGGAGACAACAAAACTCATTTTATAATATGATCGATCAAACTTTGCTATTAAATTCATTTTACAGAATTGTAGGAAAAAAAAAAAAAACAACAACATAAGTTATATATCATCATAAACATCAACTCTACATTTAAACTCGAGACACAGTGGGCTAGTGGGTTCTTGGTTTTTAAAGGTAAAGGAAGTTTGCAACTGAGAATTTATGGTAGGCGCAAATTCCTTCTTTCAATGAAAGGGCGGTTCAACTGCTCTATCTTCGGGTTAAATTTCAAATCTGAAACACAGAGATATGAGGTGATTTTTTTGGAATTCAACCTCCTCCATCAGGCCAAAAAACCCAGATAACATCTCTCCGATTCTAGTTCGATCCGTCATCATGGATGTCTGAATAGGGACGCCATGGCCTGGGTTTAATACGCCACCTCTGATTTTCTGTTTATATGTGCTTGATGTTGATTGGAGGTGGGGAGGGAGAAAGGGAGAGAAGGAAACTTGGATGAGGATTTGGTGATGCGCAGGAATAGAGAGGTTGGAGAAAGAAAGACTCAACTAAATTATACGGAGGTATTGGAGTGTATAAATTAGCGGGTGTGAGGGGGATTAAAGTGGTGGGACCGGTTTTGTTTATCCGGTGCTTAATTAGTACGTTGGAACACCAAACGGCTGATATCGTACTACTAATACTATCCGGTCCTTTATACGGCGTGCCAAACGAGGCCTAAATAATTCCAGAACAAAACTGAAAGGAGGAAGTAACAAAAAATAAAAAACAAAAAGTTGGGAAAACTCAATGTTGTATCAAAGTCGGCAATGTGCAGCAGGGATGGCAACGAATCGGTTTAGAGACGAAAATGTTATATCCATCCCCATAATCACGAAAATTAACCATATTCATAACCACAAATTAACCATCGGGTATTATCCATAACCATACCTACCAGATAACGGATTTTTTTATCGGTTAACGGTTATATCCATCTTCATTAATACAAAAAATATATTCGCCCAATTGACGCATGATAATTTGGTAAATATTAATTTCGTCATTAAATATTTAATGTATAAAATGATTTAATTAATGGATCTTGTGGAACATAAAAATTAAAGCTAAACATTGATAATGTTGGTTGATCTTTGATATCTCGCATAAATACTATTAAATTCTCATAGATTTTGATTCATATCAAAACTTTTGAACTTTGCCACAAAATAAAACTCATACAATGCAATTTTTGTATTCTCAAGGTAATGGATTCGGTGAATAATGAAATACATATAATTATATTATATATTATTAGGTTCGAATTCGGGGACGGATATGGATTGGGGACCCCTATAACCATATCCAAGACCATAACTGAATAATATTCACGGTTTTTCCCCATACCCAAAATATACCCGAATTTTCATACCCAAATCCAATCCATTCGGGTGGTTATCCACGGTTATCGGGTTAACGGTTAGAATTGTCATCCCTCCACCTCTTCACATGCATGAGGCAATTCTACATGCTATTGAAATTTGAAATGAATGAAGTCAAGGATATATTCACACAAATCAATAAGACTATATATTAATGATTAAGGATTGATCAAGAGTGAGTGAGTAAAATCATAGGAGGATTTGGTTAGGAATTGATGAAATTCACATAAATAAAGGATAATTATACTTATAACACGAAAAAGAAATAAGCTGCTCTGCTTTCCTCAAATACGCACGCGCTTCCGTTAGTTTTTTTTTTCATATTTGTTTTTTTTCTCTTGTCCTTATCATTAAATAAAGTTATTAGATGAGTTTTGGTTAAAATTCAAAGTTTTGAAGTTATTTTCATTAGTTTTCCTTATATTTTAAGCCCTAGTAAGAAATTTAATTCCTAATAAGCTGAAAAATGGGGCCAGATTTGTCATTTGAACTAGCAACTTCCTTCTTTGGGTAGTAAAAAATTAGGTTACATCTTGCCTTAAAGAACAGTGGGTCCCAAGAGAAAAGTAACTATCCATGTGAGCTAAGAAAAAGTAACTACCCATTTGCGAATACTCTTATGGAGACCTTTAAGGTAAGGGTGTAGACATCGAAATTTCGGTAAATAAATGTTGACCGATAAATCAAAGTGTCAACGCTCATGTATTACATAAATTTTACACGTAGCGTGTGGCTCAACGAAAATTGAAATGAGTTGGAAAAGTCATCAAATAGGACACGTGTCAACACCTGGCAGAAATGACTTATTTCATCTGGGATATTATATTCAAAATTAGGCTTTGGAAAATTCTATAAATACAAGCCCATTTCATTCATTTGAGGGGACCAAAAAAAAATCATTAGGCAAAACTCTTGAAGCTCTGAAGCTCTGAAACTCCGAAGCTCTCAAGCATCCAGGTTCCCGAAGAATTAAGAAAGCGTTCTTCGTTCATCGTTCATCCAAGATCAAGCCCCAACGGCCCTTTGGATCAACAATCATCCACCAATTCAAGATCAAGCCCCGACGGCCCTTGAAGAAAGCACCATCGTTCATCCCGTTCATCCAAGATCAAGCCCCAACGGCCTTTTGGATCAACAACGTCGACAAATCCACACACATCCAACCGTTCTTCAAGATTAAGCCCAAAAAGCCCTTGAAGATCTGTTCATCACTGTTTCTTCAAGATCAAGCCCAAAAGCCCTTGAAGATCCGCTCATCACCGTTATTCAAGATCAAGCCTCAAACGGCCATTGAAGAAACATTCATCCTCAAGATCAAGCCCCAACGGCTCCTTGAAGATCCGCTCAAATCCACCTTCAAAGATCAAGCCCACGGCCCTTTGAAGAAACTTCCAAACAGTTCATCCAAGATCAAGCCCCGACGGCCCTTGGATCAACGAAACACCCACCAATCAACACCTTACGGAGATCGAATCAGAGGATCAAAATAGAGAGAGATTGTAACCCAAAATCATCAAAAACACAAATATTTGTTTGTGCACGTTGTTCTTGTCTCTTTCGTTTCAGGAATTTTCCGTGTTCACAAATTGGCACGCCCAGTGGGACAATCTCTGCCTCTCATCTCTTTCTCCGTTCAAGAAAATCAAAACGCACTTCCAAAATTAATGGCATCAAGGAAGGCTCAAACTGCTCCCGCAACTGGTGTCACTTTGGGCATCACGACTCGAAGCATGGCAAGAGCTACTTCTGCCGCCTCTTTCACCTCTGCATCAACCCTGCCAAGGGAACAAAAGCACCCAAGGCACGAGCCTTTGATCACCTTAGCCTCACTAAGGGCACCAAGGGGGGAAAGCCCAAGGAAATACGCCGAATCCATGCTCTCCGATGCCGATTCAAGCGACAGTTCAGCCATGCAAGTCATGACTATTGGAGCAACTTCAATCGATGAGCAGCTGGCTCAAATGAATGAAGCAATCGCAAGGCTAACCCGAACTGTGGAAGAAAAAGACTTGCAAATTGCAGCACTAGTCAACCGACTGGAGGCGCAAGACGGCGATAAACCCGACCCAGAGGATGATCCACTAAAGGGAGGAGCTGGCGGAGACGAAGAACCCCCGGTGAAAGAAAATCGATGGGAAGCCGGAGCCAGACCAAGCAGCGGCACTCATGGGATCTCTTTCTATCCAGCAGCTGCAGGAGATGATCACCAACACCATCAAGGCACAGTACGAAGGGAGCTCACATACCTCCTTGTTCTACTACTCGAAACCCTATTCCAAGAAAAATTGATGCCCTAAGGATGCCAAGGGGTTATCAACCACCAAAGTTCATGCAGTTTGATGGAAAAGGAAACCCAAAGCAGCACGTTGCACATTTCGTCGAAACTTGCAACAACGCGGGGACGGAGGGAGACTACCTCGCCAAGCAGTTTGTGCGCTCGCTGAAAGGAAATGCCTTTGAGTGGTACACGGACCTAGAGAGCCTGAGTCCATCAACAGCTGGGAGCAATTGGAAAGGGAATTCCTCAACCGCTTCTACAACACCCGCCGCACTGTGAGCATG